TGAAAATCAGATCTTATATGTCAACCAGGGTTCAGTAGCAGAGAACTGTGTGGACAGTAGATAGTTTAAGGAAATGTGGGTGTATTAAATGGTTGCAGGATTATTGCGGTGCATCTTCACTGTAGAATAGGGACGCTGCAAAAACACATTTGACAAAGTGGAAGTTTCTTGCCATCCTGAACACCTGTGACCCCAAAGCCATGCTGCCTTAATCAGCAAGTTTCTAGCACCATGGAGAAACAGGCTATCCCCACCTGCACCCTCAGTTAGAAAACTGGATGCCTCAATCCCAACTCTCAATGCTAAACTGGTAATTTTGCCCTGCAACCTTGATAAATGATGCTGAAGAAAGCCCCAATGCCTTAACAATTGCCTTGACTTCCACCTTCTGCAACCTAGAATAGTTGATATTCAGGGTAATTCTGCTTTCCAGTCTCCAAAGTCAAGAAAGGTAGATGGACTGAGGTTTTGGAGTGGGTGATGTCAGTTAGTTGCCAAGCATGGACCCCTGTTCACTTCTTTCCTGTGCTGGAGAAAATACTCTGACTGCTTTGACAGCACCTACAAAAAAGTCAGGGAAGTACACCAAACTTACTGACCTGCTACCAAACTCTTCCATAAGTGTGAATTTCTGTATTACATTTCATTCACAGCTAGTGCTTAGGAAAACAAATTTCGTAAAACATTTCACTTACTCTACCAGAAGGATACTTTTCATTTTTCTGAACTGTGTTTCTTTTAACTATTTAAGGGATAACACTTCATGTTCAACCAGCCTGATCCAAGTCTTACAGGCTTGCGACACACCTTTCTGGCTTTTTGGATGGAGGGTTCTTCAATCCCTTGCTCTAAACTGCCACCTGCTCTTGTGCATGGTGGGTAGATCCTTAAATTCCTCTCAACAAACTATCCTCTTGTGTTCTTGTGTTGGAATTAAAAAAAAAAAAAAAAGCTACAAAGATACTCAACTATACATGACTTAGTAAAAGTTCTTTGTCAATGAGTCTAAAATACTCCCTTGTTTAAAATAATTCTGGGCTCTCCATGGTGGCACACCGGGTTAAAACACAGCATTAAGAAGTTCTACAAAGCCACTGCTGTATAAGCTCGATCCCCAGCTCCAGAGGTGACCCACATGGCACAGCAGACCTCTCCTTACCCGCCCGCTGCTCCCACGAGCAGTGTACTTTGTCTATCTGCCTGTTCTGCTCCCCGCTCTGTCTCTGGTGAATCCTCTCACCCGTCACACCTATGGCCTGTATCCCAGTTCTGTAAGCATAAATAAATAAACCTTAAAAAATTAATTCTTAGCTGTTTTCTGAGTGTTGAAGGCAATGAAGAAGAGAAATGGCAACACCAGCCTCCTGGGCTGGGCAAGGAAGTCTCTTTTCTTAAGCTAACCACTCAGAATATGGTCAACAAAGGCAACTAGCTAACGCGAGAAGAAAATTGTGCTGTTGTTCTTGTTTCCACATGAGTTTTATTTTCAAATTCCTGAGGGCACATATAAGGGTGGGAACATCTTGCGGCTCCCCTTTCCCCGAAGGGCTAGTGTGGGCAGCCAGACACCAGCCCTGGCTGATGGTCGCATTCCAGACAGGCACTTCTAAGACCGCAGTGATCTAAAGAGAAGGACGCCATCATGGAGACCCAGACCTCACACCAGCATGTGGATTTTTCTAAAACCAAACTATTGCAAAATGGCTTCACTTTTTTTTTTTAAAAAGACTTTCTTTTTTTCCTGATCTCTGTTTTCACTAAAGAGACAGGGATGGAGAAATGGCATAAATGCCACTGAGAAGAATTTCATTTGGTCTCCAGATGGGTGAAGCCAGTAGGGAGCCCAGGCCACTCGAACTTGATCTAAAGCAAAACCACTGAGCAAATTTCTTTCTTTATCTAAGAATGGCTGCTTGGCCTTCAGCACTGAGAACTTGTGTGCCTCGTGTGGCGGCCACAGGTGCGTCTCCCAACAAAAAGCTCGCATCTTGCAGCAGCCACAGAACATTAGAGACACCAACGAGGTCTAACTTCCTCCTGGATATGCACCGTGCCCAGCTTCCCCGCCTTCCTCCTATCCCAGAAATACTCTAAATTAATAGACAGGACGAATTATTCAAATGGAAAAATTATTAAATAGGCAGGTTTATCTCCAGGCTCAGGCTGCCTGACGGGTGGGGAAGTTTCAGCCCCATGAGGGAATGGAGCAGTTTGGAGTGTGTCCAGTCCTGGCCCGCCACAGTCAGAGAGCCAAGGTCTCCAGGCTTCACTGCCCGATGGGGATGAGCTCACAGAGCGGCACATTGCGCATGTGCATGAGAGTGACAGGGTCTGGGCTGCTTGATTCTGGTATTCTGGAGGTCACGCCAAGGTGTGTGTCATTTCTAGGGTGACCCCAGAGCAGCCCCTGGAATGAAGAGTGTGAGGTACCCTCCTTGAGCAAAATTCAAGAGTTCCCTTAAAAGTCAGTAACCAAGATAACTACATTTTAATGTCATAATTAAAAAAAAAAAAAAAAAAAGAGGGCCCTCCCTGGTGGCGCAGCGGGTTAAAGCACAGCACTAAGAAGCTAAAAGCCACTTCTGCTGAGTTCGATCCCCGGCCCAGAGGTGACCTACATGGCACTGCAGATCTCTCCTGACCACCCGCTGCTCCCCTCAGCAGGTTACTTGAACAGTCATCCTGTTCTGCTCCCCACTCTGTCTCTGGTGAATCGTCTCACCCCTGCACCTCTGGCTTGTACCCCAGTTATGTAGGCATAAATAAATGAATCTTTAAAAAAAACAAAAACCACCTAAAACCCATGATCAACAATCTGAAAATTATAAAGACAGTCTCAACAGGAACTGCAGCGGGGATCTTAAACTCTGTGGACCAATGTCTAACACGACAGTGTACAGATCGCAAATGACACCAGGGCGGCGTTGGTGTGTGGAAAGTCACAGCTCAAAGTCTCCAGCCTGCAGCCTCTGGCCCCAGGGGCCACAGCCCCTGCTGCCCTCTCTGCCATGGATACACCCTCCCTCCCGTCGGTGGCCGCGTGCTCTGGGAGCTTGCTCTTCCTCCCCAAGAGCAAGTGTCTGCGTGTTAAATAAAACCAGGCACGAGGGGATTTTCCCGAACACAAGGCCGAGCAAGGCTCCTGGCAGGCAGACTGTGCTCAGACTCCCTCACTCACACTTTCCTGTTTGTTTCTCAAATAGGCTCAACTGAATTATGCCAGGAGGCCAGGTGCAGCGGGGTGGACATTCCCGAATCAGCCACAAAGAGGCAGTCAAGGACAGAGCCAACCCTATCGGCCCAGTTCCAGCCTCATTTTCCGGAACCACAGTGCTCCAGCTTGGGCAAACTTCTCATTTCTCTCCTTCCTCTTACTCTGGTCTTTGTTTCCACCCAGGGGTTGTGAAAAACCCAGGCTGCCTGGGTTTAAGGAATAAAATGCACCTTGGATGCATTTCCTAATCTGCTGTGACTCTGACTGCTTAGGGTTCTGCTGAAGTGCAGCCACCCCATGAGAAAACACGGGGTCACCGAACCCAACAGCTGCTGCAGCCTCTCACCTTCAGTATGTACCTGCATGGCCAACAGCACTGGGGTGCCCAGAGAGGAGGACCAGGAAAGAGGGGGAATTCCGCTGGCCAGAGGGGGTTCATTTGTCAACAGGCTCAAAGTGATGGGGGAAGCTGCATAGGCATTTGTTTTTATCTTCACTTTATTTTGCAAGGCAGAGGCTATTTTTACACAGACCTGAGCAACACTCATTTCCTGCAAAGCACAAAGGAGAAATTCCATTCCTTGGCTGATCCCTGCACTTCGGCTTCAGCATGAGTGGGCTGAGAGAACACAAGGCTCTTGTAACTCAGACAGAAAGCCCAGCTGTGGAAGCTGTGCATCCTGACCCTGCCCTGGCCAAATGGCCCTGGGGTGCAGTCCTCTCCTGCCTGCTCCCCTGCCTTCACTGGTGAATGGCAAAATAGGATCTGGAAGTCTGGACTTCTTCTTTTCATCATGTAATTATTTGACCTCACATCAGGGAAATTTCATGTGGTTTTCCTCTTTCATTTGTAAAATGAGGAAGTTGGGTGATTAAACTAAGATGGTATATATGAAACTTCATGTTAACAACCATTATCAATAATGCAAATAGGTTCTTTTATTTCCCGGACAACATCTGAACCCACCATGTTAGGGTTGTCATCTGCAATTGAGGAAGCAAAATCAGGCTACCTCTCCATATCTTCTCTTCTTCAAGCAATGCATTTTACTAGATTTACAGAGTAAATCTAGGGATAAAACCTGAAGGCTTCTCTGGGTTGGCACTGTTTCTGATGCAAACAAAGGTACCGAGTCGGAACCTTGATTAACTAACCACATTCATTAAAAGCAACACCAGCATAGTTGGCAAAGAGGTCTAAATCCTCAGATCTATACATTTTGTTAAAGGAGGAGAAAATATTTTTTTTTTAAAGTAAGATAGTGATATATGATGAAAAAGCAGATCAGCAGGAAAGGCAGAAAGAATTCCTGGTTTTTATGAGGGTTTGTCCAAAGGAAAAGCTATGCCATCCTTAGGTGCGAGAACAGTCCTATCGTTATGGCTATTGCTACAATCATGGTGGTGTTGGCTGCAATTGTACCTCTTCCTCTAGCTGTTCATACCCCACCTACCCGGCTTCTGAGACTTGGGAGGAAGTTCCATGAAAAATGAGGGTGCTCATCCTGCAATCTGCCCCTTTCTCTTCTCTACACAAGGACCATGAAAAAACCCTGCAAATCCTTGCAGGAGTGGCTGACCAATGCCAGTGTGGAATGTGCCCAGCCAAAAGACAGTGTGAACTTGCTGCTTTCTCCTCTGGTACATCCTCAACACTTAGTATAGATAAATGGTCTCTGAGTCTTGTGTTTTTACAAATCAAGATCGAGTCAACGTTCTGATGCAGCAGTATATATAAAAATACACACATGTGATAGGAAAGGAGAAATGAGAACCTGAGTCTTACCCAGAGATCTTTCTTTCGTCTGGTTGGTTGACCTCACCACCGGAAGGCTCGCTCGAGTCCGGCTGCCTCTGGAAAAAGGAGTTGGAGCTTCTCCCTCAGACATGGCTTCCAATGAATCACCAGATGTCTCTGATAAATGCTCCACTGGGTCACCCAGACTGGGAGGTTGAGGACTGTGAGATAGTTTGGGGCTTCTTGTCTGAAAGAAAGTGGGAAAGTAGGCTGTTGTTAAAATATGTTCAGTGCTATCAAGATCTGAGAATCTGAAAAGACAGCATAGCAAAGAGGAAAATGTCACTGGAAGGACTGGACATAGAGAACTAAATTTTGTGGGTCAAAGTATCAGTGTGAAGGTTACTTTAAGATAAAATATTTTTCCTGAGTTTTCCATAAGGTTTTTCTCACTGGACATCTCACTGTACAAGTCACTCTAGAGAAAAGAATGATGGCCAATCAATTCCTTTGGCTACATTCTAACAATTGTTATCGCAACAAATAAGACTATTCATACTTGTATATATCTATCATGGATGATACACTCACATCAGCATAAAGTAAACACAACCAATACTTCCAAAGTTGTGTACCATGGCGTTTCCAAAATCAATAAACAAATACTGCAAGGGGAACTGTTGATTTTTTTTTTTTTTGAGGCAGAAATACCATAAGTAACATAACATGTCGCTTTGGTTATTACTTATCATGCAATTAGCAGAAACTATTAATGGCACAAACCACACATAATTGAATTTCTCTTTTAGCTTCTACACAGTAGTGGCAGGAAGCTATGGGTTAGAAAGATTTCAACCTATTCTATTCACCGAATGTGATGGCCTATTTGTCACTAACATTCTTTGAAAGTGGACTACCAGGTGAGCATTGGGGGAGATGCACACAGAGACATGCTGCCTGATGGCAAACTTTGAAACTAATTGGTGAAAGTAGTGAAGGACAGCAGGTATTTACGATTTTGTGTAAATATGAATTACATGGTCCATTCATTCATCCTTTCAGTAGAAACCTATTGAGAACCTACTGTGTTCCCGGAACTGTGCTGCTACGTGTTGGGGCACAACATTGCACAGAACAATGTTGCCCTGCCCTCACCTGTCTAGTCAGGTGAGAGACCCTGGGGATAAGTTCAAAGTGTAATTAGAGTGCATAACACAGACTGGGTACTGGGTTGGAAAACCTTGTATACTCAACTGCCCTAGAGGTATTTTAGTCAGGGGAAGTTGGGGAGTGGACAGAATTGCATGCAGTGTTTTTTTTTTTAGATCACTTTGGCTCTGGGGAGGTTGGAGATTTTACATGTGGAAGGTCATAGAGAGGGGGTGAGCAGTTGGGCTATTAGTGTGAGTGAATGAATTACCTTCGCTTTCCCTACTCCTGCTTGTCAGTGCTGACTTATATTACATGATTCCAGGTAGCTTCCGGGCAAACTAATCTGAATTAACCAGGCAGGTAAGTTTTTGCTTATTAAAATGCCAAAGGTGCTAATGGGTGGTGGTGGGGTACAGACAGTGTGTGGTAGCCAGCTTGTATGTGTATTTGTTTTCTTTAATGTACATTATTCTTCCTAAGGATGCCAATATTCTGAAGTTATGCACCAAGCTTCCTTGAGGACTAGATGGCCCTGAGGGAGTAAACAATCTGTGCAGAATGATAGGGCTGGGCACTTAAAAGGGTTCCACATAGAGGGCCCTCCCTGGCAGTGCAGCAGTTTACAGCACAGTACTATGAAGCCATCCACAGCCACTGCAACAGGAGTTCGATCCCCAGCCAAGGAGGTGACCCACATGGCGCGGGCTGACCTCTCCTGTCCCGCCCACTGCTCCCCTCAGCAGTGCACTTCGTCAATCTGCCCGGTCTGCTCCCCACTCTGTCTCTGGTGAATCCTCTCACCACCCCTGCAACTCAGTTCTGTATGCAAAAATAAATAAGTCTTTAAAAAAAGAAAAAGTGTTCCATGTTGGCTTCATGATCTGCTGTGATGGACTTGAAATTTTTAGAGCGCAAAATATACTAAAAATGATATAGCTGGTCCTGCTTCAGCTTTGCCTCAGAGCTCTTTCAGAAAAATGCCCTGGGGGTGTCAACTCCAGGGAACTTTTGGAAGGTGAAATGCGTCTTTTCCCTTCTCTTTCTTGCTGAAAGTACAAGGAGAGCCCTCTCGGTGGGAGCACAGTTGCATTATCTAGATCCCTGCACCTTGCTGTGTTTCTCAGGCCTTTCCAGAGAAGGAACAGGAAAAAGGTCAGCACAGGCCCCCTGGACCTCCTTACCTTTGGGATGCGGAGTCTGAGAGGTGGCCACCTTGAGTGCCCACAAGAAAACTTTTAAATCAAGACATGGCGAGAACATGGCTAGAAAGGTCATCCATGAACTGTGTGTCCACCACGACACTGTCTCTGAGTTAATTTTTCTGTGCAAGCCCCCAAGTTGCATATTCCCACATCTGTTTTCCATAAGTTTGCTTCTGTTATGAAGCTTGGAATCTAGCTTTGACATTCCTTAAGCGTATTATTTGTCTAGGAAATCACTTCTCAATTATTGCCCATCTCACCAAGATTTAGATATTTACATGGTCTTCAGTGAAGTAGTTACCTAATTACTATGCTCAGCAGACTATCAAGACTATCAAGACTATCATCCCTGACTTAAAAAGGAAAAGAAGAGACACTCAATTTAGCAAAATAGTCAAGAAATAACATTACTTTAAGCAACATGGCTGCATTTATAACTTGGGCTGTTGGGTCATCATCTTTGCAGCCTACGGCAGGCACGATGCCTTGGATGACTTGTTGTTTCCCATTGCAAAAGGCAATAATCCTTGAAGAAAATCAAAATCAAATCGCTCGTTCTTGTTCGGGATCATTGTGGTGGTAGTACATATAAAAATAAAGATGTGAGGGCTAAATCTCTTTTTTTAAACTTCCTGTACACAGCTACTCAGTTCCAAATATAAACTCCTCTCTTTTTTATGACATTCACTCTCATTGCAAACTACCATTGCGTATTAGCAATCTCCTCAAACTGTCCCCTCCCCTCAGATGCCAGCTCGCTGCTGAGACATCATTTAGTGCAGAGGAAAGACAATGGAAATTGCTGACATGAGTGTCAGATACTCTGTGATTTGATCTATGAAAAAGAAAGTCAAAAAGCATTTGGAAGAGGGGGGTCTAAGGTTCTGTGCTTATATGGTTCTGTGCTCACACACGTCTGATGTGAATTTTGGGGTGAAAGATAATATAGATGTAACAGTTGGACAAGATGAGTTACAAGATTTGTCACGGTAAACAGAGAAGGGGCCTGAGGGAACAATTGCTGACATCCAGGGATAGGTAGGGGAGAAAAGGAAGAGTAGGGTGAGTTCACCCCATAAACAGTGTGAACATACACTAGTTTCCCTGGATCAACTCTGTCTTGCACCTGTTGTCCGAGTGTAATTAGCAGTAGTAACCCCCTTTCACTCAGGACACCCTGAGCTCAGCTCCCCAAGGCACTCAGGAGGTTACAGGATGAGAAGGAAGGACAAGTGTTCCTTCCGGGAGCTTCCCCCCACACACCCTAAGGCATGGGAACCTGATGTCTCTCTTTGCTCTCTCAGCTGACTAACAGATACATTACCTGAGCAGCAGAGCACTAATTTGTCTCTATAGGCATCTTCTTGGCAGGATTCTATCTCCTGTCTTTTTCAATAGGCAGAATACATGGAAAAAATGCCCTTTTTATCTGACTTAACACTTAGCCACATTAGGAAGTGTTCCTGATTCCAAACAAAATATCTGTTCTCTCTGAGAGAGTCCTTGTTCACATGGATAAGCCCCTGAAGCCCCCAGGCTCACATGCAGGACAAACAGACATTGCAGTTTCGCTGGGTTTATCCTGCCACATCACTGTTGTCCTAGAGCAATGATTAGCAGTGGCCCCCTTTCACTCTTCAACATTTGAGCATTAATGTGTGGTCAGTCACCGGCTCCCAGCTCAGTTTTGGATGACCTGATCAAATAGTAGTCACCTGGCCTTGGCTGGCCCAGTCAGATTCTCTCCCTGGAAATGCAGGGCTGAAAGAGGGGATCTTAGTGTCTAGTGAGAACTTGAAATGTGAAGTCACATGAAGCGGTGGCTGAAATGCACACGAGGGTACAACAGAGAAAGGTGAAATGAGGGCCTCCTTGTGGCTCAAAGTCTCAGCACTAACAAGCTATGGCCAGCCACTGCAGCACGAGTTCAACCCCTGGCCAGGGCTGTGACCCACATGGCACAGCAGACCTCTGTTGTCTTGCCCCTGCCCCCTTCAGCAGTGAATTTCAGTAGACCCACCTGTTCTGCTCCCCACTTTCTCTCTCTCGCGCGTGCGCGCACACACTCACATACACCCTGCACCTCTTACCCACACCCACTTCTTAAATGCATAAATAAATAAAAATAAATCTTTTTTAAAAAGAAGAAGGCCCTCCCTGGTGGCACAACAGGTTAGGATGCAGCTCTGCAAGCTAGCCACAGCTGCTTCAGTGTGAGTTCGATACCCAGCTCTGTCGGGACCCATGGCGCGGCAGACCTCTCCTGACCCTACTGCTGCTCCCCTCGGCAGTGTACTTCGTCGATCTGCCTGTTCTGCTCCCCACTCTGTCTCTGGTGAATCCTCTCACTGTCCCTGGTCTGTACCCCAGTTCTGTACGTATGTATAAATAAATAAAAGAATAAGTAAATAAATAATTAAGGAAGAAGAAGAAGAAGGTGGAGATGAGAGACCGGAGTCCCCGAGGGAAGGCCTGAAGGATCAAGGGTGATTTGGGCTCTGGACTTTACAGTTCTGACTCCAGTAGCCTGTGAGGTACTTCTGGTGAACTCCTCCCAATTAATTCCATTTTTGTTCTTAAACTAGTCTGAGATTATTGTGCTTGCAACTCCTCCCAATTAATTCCATTTTTGTTCTTAAACTAGTCTGAGATTATTGTGCTTGCAAGCCATCACTGACAAACACCAACTCAAGCTGCTACTCTACCCAGGCTGCTGTGATGCTCACCCACTTACAATATGAGTAATAACCATCAGGAAAACTAAATTACTCAGATACATCGCCCATTACTTTATATTTCACACATTAAAATTTCTTTTCAAAATTTATAGAAAATGGGATAATGTAGAGTGGCTAAGATTTTATTTTACAAACATACATTTTACAAAAATGCC